AGGGAGGTGTGAGCGGCTCCCCGCACCCCCCAGCGCAGGGTGACCTCACCACACTGGCCCAGGGGCTTGGGGAGGGGGCCGCTCTCTGCTGGGAGGCTGAGCGAGCACCTGGGAAGCAATCTGCACACAGGAGACACCGGCTAAGGCTAAAGGGGAGTGGTGTCCTGAAGCCGGCTAACTCCGAGCCTGCCTGGCAGGAAGGGGGTTGGGGTCCCCCCAGACACTCTGAGAATGGAGCCTTTCCTCTAGTTGCTCTCTGCCTCCCCCGCCCCCCACCGCTCAGACCCCTTCCCCAGACCCCCCACCCCCGTTTGGATCAGTAACAGCTTTCTCCTCTCTGCAGCGACTGGGCTCCCCTTGGCGGCCAGCCTGGCTCAGTGGGGAGCCTGAAGACCAGGCCTGGCTCGTACCCAGGTGCAGCGTGAGTGGCAGTGGCGGGAGCTGGCCTCCTGGAGCCATGACCTCGCAGAGCAGGGAGTCGGCTGGCGGCCTAGGCAGCAGCAGGAACGAAAGCACCGTGCAGCCCCATGAGGCCTGTCAGAGCCGGTGGGACCTGCCCCCGGGCTGCGCTGCAGGTCCGAGGGGGCTGTGGAGACAGAAATGGAGCGATCTCCGTAGACGCTCAGGCTGTGGGATTGTCCAAACCTCCTTCACCCAAACGCCCTGCAGAGCCGGGCAAGGCCCTGACATCTGCCAGAGCTGGTACCCCAGGGCAGCGCCGGGCAGGTCAGGGACGGGGCTGGAGTTGCACTCTGAATTCTGACCCTTCAGGACCCCCGAGAACATGGCTCAGCCCCCCTTGGCCCTTTCACTCCCAGTGGGGAAATGGGTTTAACCCTAACACGGGTCTATGGGGGCAAACGAAGGAGCCAAGGGCAGAAAGGAAGTGGCCGGGTGTGTCTGGTTACCAGACCCTTCCTGGAGAGAGCATTCACTCTGAACCCCGACAGCAGCTCTCGTGTGCCACAGGCTTTCCGACAGACCGGGCCGGGCCTGTCCGCCCCACGGGGGCTCTCGTGTGCCACGGGCTGTCTAGGCGGTGATGATCGCTGGGCCCTGTCCGCCCCACGGGGGCTCTCGTGTGCCACGGGCTGTCTAGGGGGTGATGATCGCTGGGCCCTGTCCATTCCACGGGGGTTCTCGTGTGCCACAAGCTTTCCGACAGACCGGGCCAGCCTGTCTAGGGGTGAGATTGCTGGGCCCTGTCTGCTCCATGGGGGCTCTCGTGTGCCACGGGCTGTCTAGGGGTGAGATTGCTGGGCCCTGTCTGCCCCACAGGGGCTCTCGTGTGCCACGGGCTGTCTAGGG